ACAATTGGTGATTATCTTATATTGACTAAAATCATTATAAGATGTCTCTACTTTGTCTAATTAATTTTTATTACTTAAATGTTTTTAGTTGTAATCGAATTAACACTGCCTTAGTTTCTTTAAGTTTATGTATTTGACATGCTTATTTCTCTTGTCCCAAAGCATACTTTTTGAACCTATAAAAATCTACCTAAATTTTGGTAATTTAGCTCCTGAGACACTGATGAGGGCCCTTGAATTGCTAAATTACCTCGCTGCTTTAGATGACGACGGCAACCTCACTGATCTGGGCAGTATGATGGCTGAGTTCCCATTAGACCCTCAACTAGCCAAGATGGTAATTGCTTCTTGTGACTATAATTGCTCCAACGAATCCCTTAGTATCACTGCTATGCTTTCCGGTAAGTATTTACATTTGCAATGTAACCATATATTTGGCCATTAATATCTTGATTTAAAATATGCTACATGGTTTTGTGCATAATTTTACTCAGCATACTGAGATTAATTCTCTCGAGCACACACTACGAGAGAATTGACACTGTCGACAAATTCTGCATCCTTTTTGAATAAAACATGTGTTAACTTTTTTATTTGCATTAAATTATTTGGCCTGACAGCTGCTTTTCTGAAAAATGATCGTATAGCCTTATTTGAGACTGTGCTTTTGTTGCCTTCTTAATTTGTTTTGCTTAAATCCTTAAATCATATTTTCTACCAATTATTTTTGTATGATTTTTTAATGTATCAGAAATGGTCAAAATTATGCCATTTACTTCCAATTAAATCTCCATGCCACAACTACCCCCGAATATCGTGTTTATGCATATAAAAATATTTTCTATCGATGTTTATGGGTTAAGGGGCTTACACATAATATCTTATCGAAATCCTACTTAATTTCAACTCTTCTTACTACGATTCTCTTGTATGATTAATGCCATTATGTCTTGAATTTGCACTACCTTTGAGGATATTGTTATTCTAGTACCTCAGTGCTTCATGAGGCCAGCGGAAGCGAAGAAAGCTGCTGACGAAGCTAAGATGCGATTTGCTCATATCGATGGGGATCATCTTACTCTCCTTAACGTATACCATGCTTTCAAACAAAGTAAGCATATACCTTACATAATGTACGTTTCTGACCTGCTTTTATTTTTAAATACTTATACATTATCCTTGAAACTCTGCTTTCAGATAATGATGATCATCAATGGTGCTACGACAATTTTATTAACTACAGATCTCTGAAGTCTGCCGATAATGTTCGTGTTCAACTTTCTAGAATAATGGATAGGTTCTCTCTGCGCCGGTCCAGCACGGAGTTCACTTCCAGAGATTACTACCTCAATATACGCAAGGCCTTAGTCTCTGGTTTTTTTATGCAGGCAAGGCACTTCAAGATTTTGACAAATAGTTACATAATTTATCACTAAAAGAATGTTACGGCAAATTAAAAAATTAAACCTTCCCATTGCATAAATAAGGCTATTTTCAACTGATTTATTGTTTTGGTTTCACCAAGTTTTGCTCAGGTTCATCATATGCAACTTAAGCAAATATCTGTAAAATACAGCATTATGATATGAACATGGATAAGTTGCTATCTTGAGATTATAAATTGAAATAATACTTTTCCGAAAGACTATTCTGCTAGGATTATGTGCTATCATTCTGTCTATTGAAAAATATTAATGAAGGGAGAAAATAACATTAACATTTCGCGGCATTGTCAATGCGAGACTATTGCAAGCACAGAGCTACAACTTATTAAAGTGACAAGTCACTGTGCTTACGATGGCGCCTCTCACTGACGGTGCCGGCTAAATGTTTGGGAATGTACTCAGCAAATGGTCCAATATTGGAAATCACATACTACGGCAGAGGACATGGATCTTGGTACGTTCCACAAGGTCTTCCTGACGTTCCGGCCAAGTTGTGAAAACAAGGTCGAATTAACACTACAGGTAAACGAGACTGTGACCAAACAAAAGTACACACCATCTTGGTCTTCGTAACTATTCGGTTATGCCTTTTTTTCCAACTCTTAGATCAGGAAATTACCAGGTTACGTGTTTATCTAGTATCGTATATGTGAGGAGGCCGGCATACCCACACTTAAGAGATTATCCTATGTAAAAATATTTAAAGGTTTGAAGACATAAACATCAGAAATTGTGGAACACATGGTCGATAGAACACCAGATAATCTGGTCTTAAACCAAACACTTTGCAGTATCTTTAGCGCAAGCATTTTCTCCTATGTGTAAACCTAATGCTGGGCAAAGCAATTAATTATTTATTTCAAGCTATTTTTTCAGTATTAAACTATCCTTCTTCAACCTATCTTAAAGAAGTTATGTAAATACTATACCTAGGTTCCTTAATTGTCATTATTAAATCTCGTTTTAAGATCGCTTTTTTATATAGAGCTTGTATGGCTTAGTAAACGAGTTAACAAGACTTTCCAAATAAAGTGCCACAAGTGTATTTCTTAGTTATCGTATAATCAAAGTAAAAACAAATGGTAGAATACGTCCTCGCTATTTTTATTCACTCTATCAGGCAATTGTGAAAGCTTACGAAAACAACTATGAATATATATATCTTCTGAAAAATTATTTAGTAGATCGGCTGGGCAAGATGGGTGAAGTTCAAAGCTATAATCGAATTTATTTTACTCTTAAATGTAGAAACGACAAATACTCTACAATAAAACCGATAACCAAATGAGTAAATTGAATCGTGAAATATTGCTTTTTTTACAATTACCACTATATTAATAAAAATCGCAACTGACCTGGAATTTTCCGGCATTTAAGGTGGTACTAATAATAACGATTTTAAAGTTTGATCGTTGACGAATGATTTTCTTTAGCAACCCCATCAAGATATCAATTGCAAATGTTCTCTCGTGAACC